AAAAAAAAGCTAAAGAAAATATCAAATTTAGAAAACCAAAACACTAAATTTGAAGAGCGCGGGAATCGACATCCTCCTTCCTCGACCGCTGACCAGAACTGGTTCAGAAGCGGGTATGACTCTTTGTTTTAAAAGAATATCCATTAACTCTTCTAATGTTTTTTCAATGCTCGAAAATCGTATAAAAAAATCATTAGTTTCCTCTGTCCGAGTTCCAATCTCTCTGATTTGGGGATCAGCAAGTTTTATATCTTCTGTTTGAGGGCCCATCTGACTGATTTGGGATCAGCAATTTTGTTCTGGAACTCATTATCTGCTTTAGTTCTTTTTTCTGTTAGAAGAGCTTTTCTTTCTTCTTCCAGAATGTAATAAGTCAGAACGATTTAAGATGGCGAGCTCTGTCCTGCTTTAATACCACAGGGATCCCGTGCACACAGGTATCCCATGACATCTCCCCCTTTTGGTTACAAACAATATAATCTCGAAATACCCTATAAGGCTATGGCTACCATACAATCTACATGTGGTTAGCATGCTCGAAACGCAAAGGTAATAAACGTTTTAACAGTGTCCAATTGTCTTTATCTCGCAACAAAAACGATAAGTGTTTGTGGCTAAATATCAAGTTKAACTGGGGGCTTAACAAGCCTTCCAGATCTTGTCCTTGTTTCTTCAGGTGTGGAGTTAGGTTGGCTTTCATCAGCGACGACTGTGGGTTCTTTAACAGCTTCTTGGGAACCCTCTTCTAGGACTGGTTGTTCGACCTTCTGTAGATGCTTTCTGTTTCTGCGAACTATTCCTCTTTGGGTCTTGATGTTGTAGGACCTTGGTGTTTCTGCCTCCCCAACCACTACTGCGGGTTCACTCCACTCATCGTCCTTCTCAGTTTTAATTCTCACGGTGTCACCATCACGAAGATCTGGTAGTGGGACACAACCATGTCTTCGGTTGTAGTAGTATGCGTTATTCTGCTGAGACTGTAGATGCCTCTCCTTCAGTTTAACCTCGTCGTAATCTCTTTGTTCCTGTCTAGGAAGACTTGGAAGCATGGTTCTCATCGGTCTCTTAAACATGACTTCTGCTGGGCTCACGCCTGTCGAGGACTGGGGTGTTGATCTGTWTGCCATCAAGGCTAAGAATGGATCTTTTTGTTTCAAGATCTCCTTTGCTCTCTTGACAGCGCTTTCTGCTAGCCCGTTAGACTGCGGATAGTATGTTAGACTGCGGATAGTATGGACTCGAAGTTGTGTGCTTGAACCCATACTCCTTCGCAAAACTTGCAAAGTGTTCTGCCGCAAACTGTGGACCATTGTCGCTGACTAGCTCTTTCGGTATACCCCACCTGGCGAACATGCACTTTAACTTGGCAACCACGACTTTGGATGTCGTACTGGGTAAGTGCACAAGCTCCATGTACCGCGAATAGTAATCCATCACGACTAGGAATTCTTTTCCATCAAACGTTAATAGATCAGCTCCAACTCGGCTCCATGGACTGTCTGGCAAAGGCGATGTTATCAACGGTTCTCTCTTCTGAGCAGGTTTCTTTTGCTGACAGAGATGACAACGGCTTACCTTGTCTTTGATGTCTGAGTTTATGCCAAACCACCATACAGATGTGCTTGCTCTCTCTTTACACTTGGAGATACCCTGATGGCCTTGGTGGATTAACTCGAGAATCCTTGGTTGCATTGCTTTAGGCACGACAATTCTTCCATCAAATATTAACAGTCTGTCGGCCACGGACAAGTGGGATTGGACGGAGAACAAGTCGTGCAGGTGGTTTGGGATCTCTCTTCCGTGTGTCGGCCATCCATTGATCGTGAGCTTAATTGCTTCGTGCAATGTGGTGTCGGCTTCAGTGGCTCGTCTAAATTCCTCTAAGCGGTCTTGTGACACAGGCCAGGTGCTAGTCACTGTGTTAACATATACGTTGACTTCTTCATGATCTTTAGTATCTGATTCGCTTGGACAGTTGACTGGATGTCTAGACAACGTGTCCGCTATGACGAGTTCTTTTCCTGGCAGGTGCTGTGCTCGAGGGTTGTAACGCATCATTCTCATCAAAAGTCTTTGACATCTGACTGGTACAGCACTCAGGTCAGACCCATTGATAAGTGGTACCAACGGTTTGTGGTCTGTAAACAATCTGAACTCCTGTAGACCTCTGATGTATCTGTCGAACTTTTCACACGCCCACACTGATGCCAGACATTCTTTCTCAATCTGCGCATACTTTGTTTCAGCAGGCAGCAGCGAGCGAGAAGCAAATGCTATAGGCTTGAGAACGTTGTTTTCTTCCTGAAGTAATACGGCACCCAGCCCATAGCTACTTGCGTCCGCCGAGACGACGGTAGGCCTTGAAGGGTCGTAGAATGTTAACGTTGTGGCTTTGGTGAGGGCTTCTTTGACTTCCTTCAGTGCCTTCTTTTGTGGCGGGCCCCAAGACCAGTGAACCTCTTGCTTTAGTAGGTCGTTGAGTGGTTTCATCATTGCTGACAGATTTGGGACGAACATTCCAACGAAGTTTATCATCCCTCGGATTCTCTGCAGTTCCGTGACGTTACTGGGATCTGGCATGTCAATGATTGCTGCAATTTTCCTTGGGTCTGGCTTTACCCCGTCCTTGCTAAAACGGTGACCAAGGAATGTTACTTCTGGCTGTCTCCATACACATTTCTTTGTGTTTAGCTTGAGTCCGGCTTCGTTTACGACTAGTAGGACTTTCTCAAGCTTTYCATCATGCTCTTCCATGCTGCTTCCTGCAACTAAGATGTCATCTTGTGACGCCTCCACGCCATCGACATCTTCAAGCAGTTCGGTCATCTTTCGTTGAAATATTTCACTAGCTGATGAAATTCCAAACGGCAAACGTTTGAAACAGTACCTTCCAAACGGCGTGATGAATGGGTTCCGTGACTTTCTCAATTACCTCTGCTTCCTCCATTCTCTGTAGCTCTGCTTTAAGTTTTGGCATTAAAGGTATCGGTATTCGGCGTGCAGTGTTGCAATGAAAGGGGGCGGCCGAATCTCTCAGTTGGATCTTAACTGGATCCCCTTTCATTAGTCCAATACTATCTTTGCCTTTGATTTCTTTGACGTTAAGAGTGAYCAAGTTTAACTCTTCGGCAGTGGTTCTTCCTAGTAAGTCGCTTTCGGTGTCAGCAACATATACTTCAAACTCGCAGACAATTCCGTTGTAACTCGTGTGACCTGTGAATGTCCCTTTACACTCCAAGGTACCATCGACACCCTTCAGGATGTGAGTTGTTGCCTTC